GTTCAAGTAGGACAACTCTTAGGGCTAGGAGAAATTTTCTCTTGCATGTTTTGACTTCTTTCCTTGTGAATTAGTGTATGATTATTCAATTGTCACCTTCCTTTGTGTTTTACTTTAATTACATGAGTGCTACTTATCTAAGTGATACCTTATGTTATCTTTGATCATGGTTTGTTAGTGCTTAGGTGTTCACCTAATTTCATGAGTTTGAAACTTTGTTACTTGCTTGGTTAAGTAGGTATGTGTTAGGCATATTGTTTAAGTGCTTAATAGGTGAGTAAGTGTTTACTTCTCATACGTTTTTGCTTGTTTTCAAATCTTGGTTAAGTTTTTTATGCTTGCTATCTTCTTCTAGTTTCTTTCTTGTGAGATAACATGTTTCTTTAGGAGTTTGATTCCATCTTGTTCAAGGTGTGAATTCAATATACCTTAAGCTTTCAAACTATGCATGATAACATTATGTAGTTCCCTTAATCCTCACCGATAGTTTCATCTTTGCATGCTAATATTAGGTAGTTTTCCTTATGTTATCCTAACTTTAGGACCATTGTACATGACAATATTAGGACTTCAGTATTCCTTAGACATTTTCTATTCCCCTTTGCATATTTAAAACTAAAACTTCTTTTATTCTGAAATCTCAAAAACACTAAACAAATAAAGAGACGAACCATATGTCACGAGCCTTAAGTATTGGAAGAAGTATGAGGCAGTATATTGCTAACCTGGTGCTTCCTTTCAATCATAGTCTTTAATGTCGTTCAAATCTCAAACCCTTTTGCAAATAAGCAGAGAAATAGTTGGTGCCCTTGCTTTGAGAGTCATTTACTACTATCTCAACAAAAACATTGAACCAATTCAAACCTTTTTGCCTTCGGGCTTTTCTTTTGAAAACCTTTTCAAGTAAGAACATGTTAATTTCTTTCTTTGACAACGTGGTCTCCAAAGGTCGAGCTACATTAGAATGTGAAATTAGAATTGTTCATAAAACACACAAACAAACTAATATTTTTTAGATGAACTACGACGCTCTGATCCTTTCAGGATACGTAGGCCCTAGGTCTCACGACCAAAGGCAAGTGCAATAATATAAAACTTTCTTTTTGTTTATATATAATTCTCTACATTCATGCATTCTCTTTAGCTTGTTATCTTTATATTTGACACACTCATTGATTAGAACAACAAGAGTGGATCCCATGGATTACCACGAATGTGAGGGGTGCATAACCTTTCCCTTACGTAATCGTCTCCCATACCCGTTCTCTTGGCCGTAAGACCTTGATTTCTCCCTTCTCAGGTTTTCTTCGATGTTTTCATTTCTCTTTTATGGGATAAATAAAATTCTATTGTGAATTCATTGTTTATTGTTAATTATTATTCATAGTTGCTTCAGCTAACGACTTCACTGGGAACACCTAAGTGAGTCAATCCTATCTTTTTTGTTGTGTCTTTGGGTGTTTATTTATTTTTAGCTTTATGGATAGTTCATTTGTATATATGATCATCTGTATATATGTTTGCATGCATTGCATCTAGATATATGGTTGTATATATTAGATATGTGTTGTGCTATTGTTTCTTTGGTGGGTGGGATTTTACTATGATTTAAAAGGCCCAATACACAGGCCAAAGTTACAAACACATAGCAACACATTGGACTAGAGTGGATAGTCATGACACCCACTGGGTGCACATCCTACTAGCGCTATCATGAAAGCCACGCACAAACAAGGTTCGTGTGGGAATTACCATCGTTGTTCATGTTTGCTTCTATGATGATAGGTTTCCATATGACTCAATACTTTGTGGACCTTTTGACCATACCCAAGGAAGAATGTACATGTGAGATGGAGTTGGAATCATTATAAAAGGTACACGTGTTTTTCTTCATGATACTTGGTTTTCTTTATGTTCGAAGATGGTGTCGAACCTTTGATCTTATGATATTCAGAAATAGTATAACAAATGTCCAGTCTATGTGGAACCTTGATCCCATACTATTGCATTTGCATCATGACATTATATGTGTGTGTGTGTGAAAAAAGTTAACTTACATATGCATGTCATTTCCAGGGTATCCAAAAGCCGCCGTCTTCATTTAAGTATGGTAATTAAAGATGGTAAAAGTATGAGGACCACCAAAGAAACTTTCAATTTTAGGTTTCCTAATTTTGACTTAGTACCTTTAGAAAACCTGAGTACACGAGTGGCAGAGAAAAACTTGGATGTCTTCAAAGATATATATGGTGATCTTCTTTATTTATTGAATCTTAAGATTGACCACAGGTCCCTTCAAACTCTCATGCAATTCTATGATGATAAATTACAGTGCTTCACTTTCCAAGACTACCATCTCACTTCCACCATAGAGGAGTACGCTTATCTCATGAAATTTGATGTAACAAACCAGATACCTTTTGCCAGTGTACCATAAGTAATCAGATTTTAGTGAATCACTAAAGCTCTTTATTTGAGCGTCGAGGATATCAAAGACAACTGGAAATCCAAGGATGACACCTTTGCTCTTCCTTTGAAGTTCTTATTGGAACAGGCCAAAGATTTTGTAGATAAAATGAATTGGTTTGCTTTCAATGCCTTAATAGATGTCATGATATACGTGGTGGTTCTTTTTCCCAATATAGAGAATCATGTAGACCTCTTGGCTATTTGTGTCTTCCTGAACAAAAATATTGGGCCTACTCTTCTATATGATACTTATCATTCCATTCACTTCCGATATGGAAAAGTAGGCCTTGTTACTTATTGAATCTCGTTGTTGTACAAATGGTTTGTGTCCCATATGCCTATCAAATGAGCTTTTGTGGATACCAATAATTCTCACAAATGGTCTGAAAGACTTATGGCACATACTTCTCTTGACATGGTGTGGTACAATAATCTTTGCAATGGCAGGACAACTATCATAAGTTATGTGGATTTCCATAATATTCCTCTCATGGGATCAAAAGGGGCGATCAATTATAATCCGGTTCTGTCTCTATAACAGTTGGGTATGCCATGTAGGGCTAACCAAAAGATGAAGATGTGAGGGAGACAATTTTCTTCAACAAAGGGTAAAATCCTAAATTATTGAAAAAGTTAAAGTACTCGTGGAATACAATCCACTGCCGAGGGAAGGTTTTCTTAGGAGGAATAGATGGTGTAGCTGAAGCTCCTTATGTGGAGTGGGTCAGGGATTGGGCCAAGACTAACCTGTTGCCTTTCCCCATGTTGGCTTCTTTGTACCCACAACCTCTTGATAGACTACCTCAACTACCTTATGTGCTAATATAAGATTTTAATAAAGCTACATCCGCGAAGGAGCAACTTCGTAAAGATAAGGAAGAATTGGGTTGGAAGCTTTATTTGGCCACATAGGACAAGAAAAAGTTGGCTTATGAAGCCAGGTTGAAGGACGAGCTGCTAAAGAACCATGGTTTGGTTGTCAATGCTTGAATCCAAAAGAGGAAGAGGGTTGAAAGTTCTCGTACTACCAATAATCAGAAAGAAGTTCTAGATAAGGGTAAGGAAGATCTTCAAAGGATCAACAAAAGTATGAGAAGCTTCAGGAATCAAAACAAAAGTTTAAGGTCAAGCATAGAGAGGAGATTAAAGGTTTGAAAAAGCAACGCCGAGATCAAGAAGCCGAGACTAAAGAGGTTTGTGGTCAGAGAAATATGTTAGAATTTCAACTTCATGGTCGATAGGTTCAGATGGATATGATGATTGATGAGATTCACAGGCTTCAGATTAAACTAGCAGAAAAAAACAAGACTTATATGGAAGAACCGACTAATGTGGCTAGAGATGCTGATTGATGGGAACAGAGGAGCAGGTATTTGGAGACCATGATGTACAGGAAAGATTGTCTCATTTAGTATTTGATCCAAAGGCCTAGGCATGAGATAATGAAGAAACAATTCGAAGAGTCCAAAGCTTGGAGCTAGGAGCACTTAGGACCTGGCCCTCTGACTTATGTGGAGTTGGATAACGATTCTTAATGTTGTTCTTTTTCTATCTATTTTTCATCAACGTCAGGATTGTTGGTTGGGATTTGTTTCCTTTATTGCTTTATCTTTATATGAACTCATGTTGAGAACCATTTTATGCGGATTTTTTTAGATGAGCAGTTTTTCCTATGTTGTGATTCCATCTTATTTACTTGCTTGCCTTTATCTTATTGCTTCTTATTCTTAATGAATGACAAAACTTCAGGATCCCCTAGAAATGGTAATACATTGCATATACTCATACAGTCGTAACATCTTATATCATGACAGGTTTTCAAGATTTGTCTTCTTACTTATGTTGTTGGTTTTCTTATTCAAAGATTGCAAATTCCAGCATCCACTAGTATGGCACCAGAGGTAATCAGAAGTGACTAATGGAGTAACTGCAAGCAAACAGGGTGACTATGGGAAATAGGAAGGGTTCCCTTATGGAAAAACTAATGGATATCATACAAAACATGGCTAGAGGTCAGGAAGAGATAAGGCCTCTTGTTGAGAGACCTGCTTCAATTGTTGACAATGGAAATGAAGGTCTGAATCCTCCTAATGGTGACCCTGGAAATCCTACTGGCGGTGGTCTAGGTGATTTTTTTTGGTAATAACCAAGGTGTTCCTACTGGTATTAATATGAACCATGTCAACGAAAATCCTCCTCCACCAACTCCTCCGTGTCTTACTCCTGAGAAACAATCCATTACATCACATGCTAAAGTTACTATCAAACCTCAAAAGAAATAGCATAAAAAAAACCTGGCATGTAGCAGTCCAAACATCATTCACCGAGCCAACATACAAAGACCACCAGATACACCACTCAAACATCCTGCTCAGTCAGTTTTGGTTTCTAATACTGGAAGTCATGTTATGGATATGAAAGTGGAAAAGAAGAGAAGAAGAGAGGATGAGAAGTCAAGGTCCAACAATGAAGAAGACAAGAAGCATCAGTTTTTTATCGGCAAGTCCTGGAAGCCAGGACTGTTGGGAATCATGATTGTCTTAAGTTGGAATTGTCGAGGTTTAAGCAACTTGATTGCAATTCCAAATATGCATAATCTTTCTCAACGGCATCTTCCCGATATTATTTTCTTGTTTGAGACTCTAGTTACTTCGAGAAGGGTGGAAACAATTTGTTTAAGCCTGAAATATGATTTGTGCCTTACTATTGATGTAGAGGATAGAAGTGGTGGTCTTGCGGTATTATGGTGTAATAGAATCAAGTATATTGTGATGAACTACTCGCGGAACTTTGTTCACCTTTTGATCGAGTGAGAAACAATAGGAAATTGGAAATTAACGTTTTATTATGGTTACCCAGAAAGAAGTCGACGTCAACAAGCTTGGGATATGTTGAGATCTCTGCGTGATATGTCAAATTTGCCTTGGTGTATCATCGAAGACTTTAACTATCTCACTACTATGAAAAACCCATTTAATGCGGGTCCACGCGTTGTTTTGTAGAATGTTGTTGTAAATGTGTAACTTACAATCATGATTCTAGGAGCGTTATAGTATATTGAAAAGTTCACGTGATATCACAACCGTTTGTTAACTTATCCATTGTCGTATGTTTTTTAATAAAATAAAAAAATAGCTTTAAAACAACAATACCATTAAGAACATTAAAAACAATAACAAGAACACTATGAACAACAATAACAACTTGAAAAACAATAAAAACAACCACAATAACAAGAACACGAAGAATAACAACAAGAACAACAAAAACAAGAAGAACAACAAAAAGAACAACAAAAACAAGAAGAAGAAGAAGAAGAAGAAAAAGAAGAACAATAACAACAACAACAACGTATAACAACAACAATAAAAACAACAAGAACAACAATGATAAGAACAAGAACAACAACAACAATAACTAAAAAAAGAACAATAAGAACAAATAAACTAATGTTGCTAACTTGAATCCAAACTTTCCTTATCTCATTCAAAATGGAGAATAAATGACAGAGTTCTGAAATTTAGAAATTAAAGAAATGTTGCTTTTGAGTTTTGCTTATGGAAGAAATGATATTTTTGAGCTTGGTTTAGTGGAAAAATAGAGTGCCGTAAATGAAAGATGATGTTTGATGGTAGAAGATGAAGTTCGTCTAAGTTGGAAGTTTGTCTAAGTTTTAGGTTTCACGCAGATCGCTAATAGTGGTATCCTAAGCGTTGATAGTAATTGTAATGGACGATTGAGATTTATTTAAGGATGTTGAAAAAACTCAATAAATATGCTACATACAACAACATTTGTACTAAATAACCACTGTGATATGAATTTTAATAAAATATAAAAAAAATACAGTACTAGAAAAGCAACAATAGCAAGACTCGAACTCATGACAATGCGCGCTACATACAACAACGATTGTATTAAATAACCGTTGTTGTACATCTTTTTAATAAAATATAAAAATACAGCAGTAGAATAACAGCAACATCAAGATTCGAACTCATGACCATGTGCCACTTTTTACCACGGCTGGAACTTCCAACCGTGGTGAAAAGTGGCTTAAATATGAAAATAAATAAAAAATGCGCCTAATTTAATAGATTCTACCATGGTGTATCCTTTGACGTGATGACTTGGGTGTTGTTATTTGTGCATTTTGTAGTAGTGTCTGCTCTCTTAAGAAGATAAAAGAGGTATCAATCCCCACCCTAATTGGCTTTGTGTTGGCTTTCGCAAGGCAGTAGAGGAATGTGAACTCTCAGATATTAGATTGGAGGGATATCAATTCACTTGGTCTAAAATTTGAGGTTCTCCGTATATGATAGAAGAACGCTTTGACAAAGCTATAGAAAATTCTAATTGGTTGGAGTTGTTCCCGAATGCTACATTACTAAATATCTTAGTGTTACATTCCGATCACAATCTTATCATTTTGCAATGCGATCCCATTTAATGGAAGGGTTACCGTTACTCTTTTAAGTTTGAGAAATATTGGTTATTAGAGGAAGGAATCAACGAAATTGTGGAGGTCGGTTGGAAACATAACAGTAATAGTAACATCGAGCTTATTGTGCGTATCAGAGGTTATGCGGAGGAGTTATAAAGGTGGAGTATAAGTAAGAGAACATGATTTAAGGAAGAGGTTAATGAGTGTGAAGTTGAGATAGGGTATTTTCATTGGATGGGTGACCAAGATATTATGGAGAAATTGTTAGAAATTGAAAGGAAACATAACAGGCTGCTTGTTCGCAGGGAGGTTTATTAGAAACAATGTGAAAAAATGGATTGGCTCAAAGACAACGACTTAAACACCAAGTTCTTTCATATGACAGCTACGGCGAGATGTAATTTAAAAAAAAAATCTTGATGTTAGTGGATGATCATGGGAGTGAGGTTTGGGATCTGTCCGGGCTCAATATTGTAGCGAAAAATTATTTCCAGAAGCTTTTCCAAGAACAACAGGGACGCCGTGATCCTGTGTTACAGTTTATACAACCCATAATTACAAATGAAGGTAATCTAAAGCTTCTTGCTCCTATTACTAAAGAAGAACTATTCTAAGCTTTATGCCACATGCATGCGGATAAAGCCCTGGGTCCCGACGGGTTTAATATGGCCTTTTACCAGCAGTTCTGAAACATTTGCAGTGATGACATTTTTAGTGCAATATTGTTTTGGTTGGATCGTGGCTTCTTTCCGAGCAGCCTTAATGATACAAATATATGTTTCATTCTAAAATGTCATAAACTGGAGAGCATGAAGGATTTGCGTACAATATTGCTTTGTAACATGGTGTATAAAGTGATGTCGAAATTGTTGGCTAATATACCGGAGGTTTTCTTATCTAGGTGTGTTTCAGAAGAACAATTTGTGTTTGTGAAAGGAATATCCATCATTGATAACTTGTTGATCGCTTTTGAAATCATTCATAAATTGAAGCGTAAAACTCGAGGTAATATCGCAGATTTAGCATTAACAATTGATATTAGCAAAGCCTATGATTAGGTGGATTGGGCGTTCCTGAGAAGTGTTTTGTGCATAATGGAATTTGGGTATAAATGGGTGTAGTGGATGACGATGTGTGTGACATCGGTGAACTACTCAGATATTGAGATGAAGTTAAATTCTTTATAGTGGAGTGGAGGTTGTAATAACAAAGTTATAAGGTGGTTAGCATGGGAGAGTATTACTTACCCTAAGAGTGATGGAGGATTGTGTTTTCATGACTTCAAGGCTTTTAATATGTCTATGGTGGCAAAACAGGGGTAGAATCTCTTGACCAATCAGGATACCTTAGTAGCAAAAGTTTTTAAAGCTAAGTATTATCCTAATTCATCCTTTATGGCCGAGATTTTAGGTAACAACCCAATATTTGTATGGAGAAGTATCTGGAAAGCTAATGATGTGTTGGCATTAGGTTGTAGATGGAGGATAGGGGATGGGAGTCAAGTCTAGGTAATGAAAAATATATGGTTGAGAAGCGAGGGTAGTAGTTGGACGGAGGCCCCCAAGGGTACCATATGTACTATATGGTGGTCGAGGACCTCATGCATCCTAGCACCAAGCAGTGGGACCTCAATACAATTGGTAATTTCTTTTCTCCCGAAGTTACTAACAAATTCTTACAAGTACCACTCTTGGAAGATGTTATAGAGGATGGAGTGGTTTGGAAGAAGGAGAAAAATGGTGCCTATATTGTTAAAATAGGTTATAAGTTATGGTTGTCGGGTTGTCGTAATTATAAGGGTATTGGAATAGAAGGAGATTGGAGAGGGTTATGGGGGATTCATGCGCCTCCTAAATCCAAACATCTTCTTTGGAGGATTTGTCGGGGTTGTCTTCCTACTAGAACAAGTCTAGAAGAAGTTATTAGACCAAGACTTGCATCGATGAATGAAGCGAAATTGGTGATTCGTGATATTTATAGAAAAGAGGATAAGAAATTTATAGGAAGAGTGGTTGTTATGTTTTGGGTGATTTGGATTAATAGGAACAATTGGATATGGAATAATGAGAAGAAAGATTTTAACCAATTGGGAGTTCATGGATACCACACGTGGAAGGATTGGTATATGGATTAAGTACCCAACGATTCAAAAGGAAGTGTCGGTCATCAGACAAATCATATACATATATGGCAGCCCCTGAGAAGTGGATGGGTGAAATGTGATAATTCTCTGAATTATGTGATTCGCATTATGTTTGGTAAAACTAATATAGCAGCAATATGTTAGATAGGATGTATTAAATTACTAATAGGAACAGGTTAAGCAAGAAGTCATATCTCATGTTGAGACATGTTGATATGATAAGTTCTCATCATATGGAGCAACATCTCAGATCATATGTCCTATGAAGGAGCATACGACACCGCGCCTGAGCTAAACTGGACTATTATATCCAGTTAAGAAACAAAAACAGAATATACCTTGAGGATATAATATCATCCTATGTGGCACTGAGTTATAGGTCAAGAAGAATAAAAAAGAATATTGACTTTCTAAATATGGAGATAATTTAGGAAGATTAGTTTGAAGACCTATTTTTATGCAGAATCTTCTGTAGTTTTGTAACAGGTGATGAGCTGTGATTGAAGACCTAAATCCAGTTGGGTATAGGTTATAAATAGAAGCATTATAACCTAAAGAAGGTAACCAGCCAAGAATTAAAAAGATGTATATATAAGGGCTGAGTCTGTACTACTCTCTAGGAGAGTTGGTTGTGTAATCCACTAGGCATGTGAGTTGGATTGGGTGCCTTGAATTGCAAGATTTTGTTATCACTCTTAAGCTTTTAAGCAGAGTTGATTATTGTTCTTGGAGGAAGCTTTTAAGCAACTCCAAGTTGTGTTCTTGTCAAGTGTCTTAATGAGTATTATCATGGAAGTGTGTCTTATGTTTTGTTGTCATGGAAGTGTGTCTTCCTGTTTGTTGTCCAATCAATATCTGTGATTGATGAGGGGTTAAGGAGGGCCTCATACTTAGGTGAGTCTTAGGTATAAATATAGCACGGGTAGTGATTAAGTGAGAAGTTGTAAACAAGAGTGTTTAGCTTTGAATTGAAACTATCATAGTGGATTTGTCCTTGGCTTTGTAGCCCCCAGAGTAGGAAGGTTGTTCTGAACTGGGTAATAATTATTTTGTTATTTATGCTTTTCAGTACTAGTTTTATATTGTTTATACCTTGTTGTAATGTTCAAGTCATATCAGATGTCTCGACATGTCATAGGACATTTGATTTCTATGATACAAGAATTTCAATTGGTATCAGAGCAGGCATCCTGACTGTATCTGGATGAGATCTGTGGGGGACATTT